AGATGTTGATCATCTTGAATTTACCATTATGGGCAAAAGAGAAATTCTTCTTGAGCATATTTTGCTTAGTTACTGGAAATTTGAAAACTTGCGTGCAAGTAACAAGAAAACTTGTTAATGTGTGTGCTAGAGCCTAGAGGTGGCTTCGACATATGTATTCCAATGCTCAAATCAACAATATAATTCGGTGGAAGATGATGAAGGAGATGAAGAGAAAAAATGAAGGAAAATGGCGTTGAAGAAAAAGAGAAAATCACCTTTGAGTTGAGAAAGAAGATCCTTTTTGATAGTCTGTCTTCTTTAGTAAAAATTTGTAAGGAAAGTACAATTACAACTATGACAGTCAATAGAAAGGTGTCACGTGACTTTAAGGATAAGGATTATTCCCTAATAGTTTTTGACGTTGTTGGGCATGTCTGTACTTATATATGGACCCCATATGCACCTAGTTGTAGGTTAGGGAGCTCAGGTTTGTCAAATATCACCTTGGTTTCATTCTAAACAATTTAATTATCTAGGTTTTAGGTGCTTCTTTCCAATGTCACAATAGTTAAAGTTCAATAGAACTTAATTAGTTTCTTCTTCAAGAGCTCTCATAGTCTTTCTTGAGGTGACATTGAGTACCTTTCAACTACAACCTAAGTCTACATGATCCACCAGCATTGTGATACATGTAGATTGCATATTTGATTATATTAAATGTAATAATTAATTGATAAAATTTTATGTATACTCTCTCTTATTGGATTTAGTTGTCTTAACTTGACTTTTAGATAAAGTTTGACAAAATAATTTTATATAATAAAATGACAAATGAAATTTTTTTGTTTCATATGTAATTCTTATTGGCTATTTTCATTTAAATCAAAAAAATTTTCAATTATCATTCATATATTATATAAAATCATCACATTAATTTACATAAAGTTGAGAAACTAGGACAACTAAAAAACACTGGAGGCAGTATTTATTTTTAAGTAAATATTTTTTTAATAAACCTTCTTATTTAATACTCTTTTTGTTTATTTTTAGTAGATTTAATTTAACTTTTTTGATTTTTTAAACATAAATTTCAAATGAAAAATTAATAACATATATGAACAACAATTACAGAGGTTTTTTTTATATATATATAAAGTTCTTGTCAAGTATTTTTATTTGATAAAAACATTTCAATTATCACTTTTATAATATGTTAAAATTTCATCTAAATTTCATGTTTAAAAAGTCAAAAAATCAAATTAGGTTTACTAAAAATGGACGAAAGGAGTATATGTTATAATGATCTTTTTAAAATTAAGGTAAAATAAGAATAATTGTATTAAATAATACTTTAAAAATATAAATAGACGATTAAATTTGAATGCACCAATGTAAGATTGTAAGGTGGAAATCATGATGTAATAGTAAATAAACATAACATGATATTAAACAAATGAATGGACATAATATCACAAATAAATCCTTAAATAAAAATAACTAATTATATAGTAACACTTTACATGCAATTGTGATGGTTAAATGCTAGAAGGTATTATATTGGGAGTAAGATGTT